TTATTCTTCACCAATATTGTGTGGCAGCTCTTTTTATTTTTTTATATTTTATTTTTTGCGGTACGCGGGCCTCTCACTGTTGTGGCCCCTCCCGTTGTGGAGCACAGGCTCCGGACGCGCAGGCTCAGCGGCCATGGCTCACGGGCCCAGCTGCTCCGCGGCATGTGGGATCTTCCCGGACCGGGGCACGAACCCGTGTCCCCTGCATCGGCAGGCGGACTCTCAAGCACTGCGCCACCAGGGAAGCCCCGTGTGGCAGCTCTTAGTATGCCAAAGTGGCATGGTGTTGGCAAAACCTCTCTATGTGCTTAAATTTCTATTCCATTGAGAAATTTAAGAAAGAGGGGAATATTCCTATCTTGTTTCTTAGAATTTTATTTTAAAAAGCTCGTTTTATTTCCACTTGTGCCCTCGTTTTCCTCAGAGTCAAAGATGAGTCAACAGTAGGAGATGATAGATACACTGCTCTTCTTGGCATTACTATTCTCCTTCACACTTAAAGCTTATATCTCTCCTTCTGCCATCCATCTGTCCAGGAAGTTCCATAATCACCCACTCTGAGGAGAGTCTTGTATATTAATTTTAAATTGTCAATACTTTAGCAAAGACTTTCTCCCCTTCCACAACACACCCACAAGCAGTTAATATTTCAGTGTTTAGGTGTGTTGTAATTAAAGTATCATTAAGGCACTAGTAACCGTTAGATTCCCATCTAAGATATGAGATTGGCTAAAGTGTCTGAGGTTACTTGATAAAATACAAACTAATCTCTGAAAATCTTTGTACTAGAATGTGTACAGTACAAATATTAAGGTTACTTAATGCTCATTAAACACCAAGTAATTGCAAAAATATTTTCAAAGAATAGAATCCTAACTCTGTTGTGTTTTTGGCCATCATATGTTGATCTGAAAGGATGGTAGAAGAAAACATACATGAAAATCTTTGTGAACTTGAAGTAGGACAAGATTTCTTAGGAAAAACACCAGAAAAGTATAAACTATAAAAAACAAACAAAACGGCAAATAAGATGGAAAGCATTGGTCCTTTTGTAGACACTGTTAAGAAAATGAAGAGGCAAGCCCAAACTGGGTGAAAATATTTATAATAAGTATAATAATAAATATATATGACAAAGGATTTGTATTCAAACAACCCAGTGAAAGAGAAGAATAGGCAAAATCTTTGAACAGACGTTTCACAAAACAAGATATACTTACTAATGGTCAGTAGGCGCATGAACAGATGCTCGGCATCATTTGTCATCCCTGGAAATGAAAGTTAAAGCCGCAGTGAGCTACCACTACAGACCCATGGGATGGCTAAAATTAAAAAAAACAAAACTAAACTAAATACCAGTGTTTATGAGATACAATGCAAATGAAAGTACAAACTATTGCATTTTGGAAAACATTTGTCAGTTTCTTATAAAGCTAACATAATGCCAGATATAAATTTACCGTAGGAAGCAAGTAATTGCACCAGTAGGTATTTATCCAAGAGAAACGAAAACATACATCCACATAAAGATATCTACAAAAGCACTCAGTATGGCTGTATTCCCAATACCCCCAAACTGGAAGCAATGCAAATTCTAGCAACAGGTGATTGGATAAATGAGTTGTGGCCTCTGCTAAATACTACACAACATTTAAAAGGATGGAAACATGCAACAATATGATATGACGAATTTCAGAATAATTTTGCTGAGTGAAAGGAGCTGGGCCTAAACAAATTCATATTAATATATTTCCCTTCCTATGAAATTCTAGGGAAGGAAAAACTAACCTATAGCATATAGCTTATCATTGTTGCCTGGGACCATGGATTGGGTGGGTGGGAGGTGCTTGCATGCAAAGGAACGTGCGGGAACATTTGAGGTAATGAGAATGTTCTATATTTTGATTTCGGTGGTAGTTATACATGTGAGTACATTCGTCAAATCTCATCTGGCTATATATTTTGAAAAGTTGCATTTTAGTATAGGTATGTTGATTTAAAGAAATAAAGTTGATTTAAAGAAAAAGAGGTTGGAGATGAGGGAAGAGTTTGCAAATTTAGGGAAATTATATTCTAAAAACAACAACAAAGTGAGTAGTATCTTCAAAACTAATGAGCAGAAAGAATTCTGAAGAGCAGTATGCATGAGAGGAGGGTGATATTCACGAGAATAACTCTGATATGCTCAAAGGAAATACTTGGCTAGATTTTATTATTGAACTTAAAGATCTTACTTAATGTTAAGCTCAATTTGGAAGAAAATAAAAGAGAACTTAGCATACTTGGGATAGAAATAGAAAGGGGGAAAGTCTACTAATTTGTATAAAATAACATTTTACGTGAAGGAACAATGCTAGGTTCATGTTTATTTAATCACCTAATGTTGGAATGAAGCACACATTTATTGGACTTAGAACCAGAAAACCAAGTTTTACTACACTCAGACAGTAAGAATTAGGATCGTGTTTTTTTATAGCCTGTCAAGAATGTCTCGTGCAGTCTCCAAAGGGTCAGAAAACCCAAATGTGTCATATGAGCATTAAGGAGATTCCTTCTGTTGGGATGATTTGCTTCTTTTGAAGAATACCTTTTCCATATTCCCATGGGATTTGCTTTCACGTTATTGTGAAAGGACCATTTCCAAAGTCTCTAAAATATATTAAAAGCAAATGAAGGCATAATTATAAAAAAATAATTTATGAAGAAAGTTATGAAAGAACACACACTGGTATTGCTGCCATTGAATGAAAGGGTAAATGATTTAAAATATGAAGTATGGATAAGACTTATCTGAAGGATTTACTATAGTATTTTATCTAAAGGGTGAATAAATTGGAATGACACCTAAATTACAGATCACTGAAACACAAATGGGATAAAAAGCTGAAAGTGAAGATTTTTTATCCTATTTTTTGCCATGTATTTCTCAACTTGATAATTAAATGCAGTTTATCAGATGTTGTCATATAAGATTGATTTGCTTTTTTAAAACACTTTTCTCAAGATTTCCTAAGAGCAATGGAATTAAAATGTCACACTATAAGATAGATTTGAAAGTTAAAGTGAGAACAAAGTTTTCTCTAAGAATGATATTCAAATAATCAAGGTTACATGATGCAAATTTTAGAGTCTGCTCTCTATAGTGCTTAGAATGACACATTTATTTCTGGGAAGTTGTGGGAGACCTTAACCCTTAAAGAAGTTAACCATGAAGCTTTATTTTGAGCTCATCTTCTTATGGAAGTTAAAAAAACCTTCGTCTGATCCAGGCTTTCAAATTTTTGTAACTGAATGTCATCTCTGTCTCCTGAATATGATTTTTAAGGACATAATACTTTAATATGCTATGCAGAATGTCAGTATTTTAGGAAAATATCAGATAATTCAACTACATATGAACTGTGCTCTATCACTTGCTTAATTTCTCATGAAAAAGCTAATGATGAGAGGAACAGCTCAAGAGTCTTGTTTTTCTATTTCTCCAGAAATGTTTTACTCATTTCTTATGTTAAAATCCTTCAGTAAATTGATTCCTAAGAAAACCTCTTTGTTTCCCCATTACATCATGTAATCAGATAGTGAAAGTCAGAAGTTCAGAATATTTCCTGATTTTGATCTAATAAATGGCCAAGAAGCTCTGAATATATTTAGAAATTAGTCAGTAAGTAACTCACCTCAGTTATCTGGTGCCTGTATTTTCCTGTTTCCTTTAGTAGATTATTGTTCAGTTTTTATCTAATTTCCTCCTTTAGACATTTTAACTCAATGTTCAGGCTTATGTCAATTTCTAAAGAAGGTACACGTTGTATAAAATATTATACTGAGTATCTTGGGTCCTATATTTATAGTTCATATCCATTGTTTCTGGAATAGACAGTCAGAAGTAATCCTACTTTAATGGATATTTAAAATGTGTCCAGGTTATTGTGCACCTGAATCAAGTGAATTGAAAATAATATTTGAGTAGAAAGAGACACTAAGAATTTGTAGCAACTGCAGCATGTATTCTTTGAATGTATTCTTTTGTTAGAATTTGGCAGCCAAACTTGTCTACTTGTTCCCTTATCTCAATCAAGGTTAATTCATGTTTTTGCTTTAATCTTTACTGAAAGTTTTTCTGTATTTGTGTCCATGTACATTTGGAAATGGAACTGAAAAAATGTAGGTGTGTATTTTTTTTTCAATGTTTTGTTTGCTTATCTACTTAAATGGAAGAATTCCTCTGAGAGAATGAGTTGAGAGCATAGTAAAATAACTTCTGTTGCTGCCTATTATCAATATCTTTTTCTTGCTTTTAGAAAAAAATAATGACAAGCTTCTAACACGCATCTCTTTATATAGGCTAATCTCCTACTTAAGTTTTAATTGATTACATTTTTAAAGGACCAGAAGAACAGCATTAGCAACATTCTGATAATTCTCTTATATTTGTGTAAATCTTTTGTCCTTAAATTTTTATTTAGCTGAATATAATAAAGTTTGTCAAGAGCTATGAATATGGGAATTTTTAGAATTTAATATTTCTTCATTTTGCAATTGTAAATTAATGGCAGATATGCTTTTCATCATGAATTAAAAACTGGGTACAATGACTCAAATCTCCATAAAAGGAAAATATGAATAACACATATTTGAAAATCAGCCTGAAAGACATTGAAATAGCACCATAGTGAACCATTATAGGTATAGTTTAATTATCAAAAAAAGGTAATATGTTAAGCAAATATAATACTAGATACCATCCTAACATAAAAGATGGTTATTATATTTAATAAAATACACTTGAAATGCAAATTGAGAAGTGATAATTTGATTAATTTCTTCATTATTTCTAAATAAGGAATGATTCATTATACAATAATAATTTGAATTTTTCTACATCCATTTTCACTTATATATTTGTTTTTTATTTTAACAAGAAGAGTTAGGTTCTAAACTAGGAATAATAAAAATTGACTACAAAAAAGTATCTCTCTAATTCAATTTTGTTTTTCTTGTAGAGTACAGATATGAGCCCAGCAAGTAGCACCACTTCACTTCCTGTTAGTCCTCTTACTGAAGAGCCATCGCCTTTCAAGGTAAAAAATAAATTGCAAACATTTTTAATAATTGTTTACAATACTTTTAGGATCTTTAAAAAATATTTATTTTACTATAGTAAAATAGGTAGTTCAGGCATAGATGGTGAGGTTAACTGCTTTAGTTCATAAGGATCTTGTTTCAGATGTTAAAATTTTGTTGTTGTTTTGTCTGTTGTCATTCTACTTACTAAATAAAGGTAGAGTTTGAATAGAAATTGATACTTTATATAACACATTGTTTGCCTTGCATGTAAGAGACAGTAATTTCATTGTAATATTTTGATGTCACATGAATTATAGGTTTCAAATCTTGTATTTATATTAATTTAAGCAATAAGTTGGAATGAATTATTCAGCACTCATTGAGTAGTTAAACTTTCATTAGCTGGTTGAATTTTCATTGATGACTCTAGGTCATAATTAATTAATTGTGTGTTCTTTACAAATTAATGGTAGAAATAAAAAATTAACATATGGAATCATTCCTCCAAACACTGCATTTTTAAAATATTTAAGTAAATACTCTAAGTATGATTAGCAGAATTCTTCAGTTTGGGAGTCTGTATACATTACAAATATGAAGTCATCTTCTTGTTTTGCTATTTAAGATTAGATGTTTCTCTTTAAGCCAAAGCTTGTAAATCAGCTATTTTATATGTGTACCAGAGATTTTTGGATTTCTTTAGGATTATTGTAAATAAAGGGACTCCTTAAGATCATGGGAAAGAAAAAAAAAAACTTGGAAAGTTGGGATGATACACTTATGTGCAATGGTTTCAGTTTAGTTTAAAGACAGGTGAACATATTTGGGGGGGTTATGATGATTTGTATTTTATCATAACTTTGTCATTGTTTTTCATATGAAGACAAAATCTTATTCAACTTCATATTGCTTACATCTAGTACAGTGACTGATGTGGATTTCCGTATACACAATATTTGCTCTATTGTTAAAATGAAAATAATAGAAGGTTATAAATTCCATCGTGGGTCTTTAGTTTTCTAATTATAGGTGCTTTGTGGCTTAATGATAGACAATAATAATTGTTAAAGGCTCATTTATGTCAGAGAATTGTTAAATACTAAATAGAATTCTGATTATATCATTTATTGAGAAATATTTTATCATTCTACAACAAAAGGAGAAAATAATACTAATGTTTCAAAGTTTAGTATTCCTTAATATTCCATCTTATGGTAGATGGGACAAAATTTAAAGAAAAATCATATTTTTAAAAAGTTTTTAACTGAATTCTCACAGCATCTCTAGAAACCATTTTCTCTTTTTAATATGCTGATAATGACTACCCTCCTTGAAAATTAATGTATTTTTTAACAGGGTTAAAAGGAAACGTCAGATATATTCCAAAATCTGCTGACATAAAGCTAATATAAATATAATTATTTTAGTTAGTTTCTCTGACTTGTTCTAAGAGATCAATATTTTTCCTGTGTTAATGTGTAAATATGCAGTTAAAACTTCCAAGTGCTTATAATATATAATATTGGCTTTTGCTAACCAATATAGTTATAGTACCTCTTAATTTACTTCTTCTGTGATAGGAATATTATTTATATTTTTTCAAAACAATTTTAACAGATATAGAAACATCCACTAGTATTTAGAAGTATCTAAAATTAAGGTTACAAATTATACAACTCCTGCATTTGCTTCTTTTATTTTTAGTTTATAAATTGTTGTCATATAAATGATTAATAGAATTCTTATTTATCCTTATATAAACACAAAATATACAGAAACTATTTTGAGATGTACCTTAGCAGTATAGTACATTTTAATTGCAAAAAAATTTGTTGAAAACAAAAAAACACGGAAGACATTGAGTTTTCCGATGATACCCTGAAAAATCTTGCAATTTTAATTCATTTATGTCCGAAACTTTATTTAAATTTTTGATATTTGACCAACACGGTTAACTAGAAAAAAAATTGATTATCTTTTTTTTTTTTACTCCCCAAGAATAAAATAAGATCAATCACCTTTGATACTTTAGTTGTATTTTCTAAGACAGTGATTTCAGCACCCAATTCCGTAACCATCTGCCCTAATATTAGACAAGGAAGGCTTTTGAAAGATAAGCTTTGGTGGCCGGTTGAGAGACTTAATTATACCTTTTCTTCTGGGAAATAATTAGGTTAATAAAAGAAAGTATTCCATCCTTTTCTTGGTCTATTTTGGAAGCACTCATATAACAGTTGGAGGAAGATATCCTGTTTTGGCTCAAGTGTTTATCCAAGTAAATGCTTTCCTTTAAAGGTTATCTTCAGAATGACATTCAGATTAAATTTATTTTAACCATACCATTTGACATAATGACAAATGGTATGTAATATATTTTTTAAATCCCTAATAATTACCTTCCCACTAATATCTCTACCTATATTATTGACTTGAATGTTAGATGAGAAATTGGCTATCAATAGGAATGTACCACAGTGGGATCTATTAAATTTAAGGTAGTAGAAAACTGGTAGTATCCTGGAGACTTACCCAAGGGGTCAAGAGAGGTATGTTAAGCTCTGGAGATACAAGAATCAAAGATGACAATTAAATTTTGTTTGGCACCAGATGCTTCTTTTCCATAATAAGACTATTTTTTGGCACTACTAGTACTGGAGTACATACTTCAATTTAATTTTTAAACAAAACCAGATCAGCTCTTAAAAATAGCCCAAGCCCTGTATGCTTACTCACGACTCTATTCCCTTACAGAACAGTTCACCTTGTGCTAAATTTCTTACCCTTACCATTTAAAACCCATTGCCATAGTGTTTTGTTTGGTTTAGTCTTTCAAAAATGAGGACAGTTCTCACAAAAATCCATCTAGTCTTCTCTTAATAAATTGCAAGATCTAGGAAACTGCCTTTCTTTCAGATAGAACTGACTGATCAGAGATAAGTAGGGTTTCTCCATCTGGACAGGGTACATGGATACCAGTTCACCACAGTCACCATTCCCTGTTCACACCTGGCAGTGAAAGCTTTTGAGTGAACCCCTTCATATAAAAAGATGTATAATTCACAATCCTCCACCTATACCACAGGTAATAAACTCACAGATTTCCCAGTCAGACTCTTGTTACTGAGAAGTTTCTAGGAGTCCAGGTTTTTATAATTATGCAGACTATTGTTATGGACATATATTTGGAAACAAAGGACAAATTTTTTAATAGAGTTCAATTTTTTAATAGAGTTTTCAGCATTCCATAAAATATATACATATGTGGTCTGACACATATGCCACTACATTATTATGGAAAGGCCAAGGGATAACTAATTTCACATGGGTGGAAACAATATTTTATTAAACAGCCATAATAGAATCATAATAGTGCAAGTTAATTGATCTAAGTGAGACTTTGATATAAGGAAAAAGGGAGTAGACTGCTTAACTGTTAATTAAAAGTTTTATGTTTTTCTGTAGAATAACCAAGTTGACATTGTTAATTTTGATGTGCCCATTCTACCCTATTCTACCTGTTCCCTCTGCCATTCTCCCTGATTTCCTTCATCTGCCTTGTCTCTTCCTTTGTGGCCTCAGTCAGATGTACCACACCAAAAATGCTTTGGGGCCATCAAATATTACTGTTCTTTAGTAGGATGACGCTTTTAATTTATTTGTGTATACACAGGTATTACAGCCTCCATCCATTCCTGGAACTAACATTCTTGAAGCTAAAGCTGGCTCATTGTTCCTGACCCCTCCGTTAATAGTACACTTGATTATGGGCCATGTTCTTTTTGCCAACCACATTCATCACATATTTTTAAATTTATTTGTTCTTCAATGAAGCCTGATGGCTAGATCTTAATCCCTTTTCCTCCAGAAAGCATCTTTTTTGATTGCATAAGTTAGACACAGGTATTATCCTGCCTTATTCTTTATCCTTATCCTGTGATAAAGCCAACAGGAAAGAAACAAATTCAATTTGCCTTTTCTTTAGACATTGTTTCAAAAGTGCACCAAGACTGTCCTCCATGCACCAATCTTCAGTCAAAGTCTGAAAATAAAAATCACCCATTGCCTTCGTGACCCCATTGACTGCTGCTTCTCTCTGTTAGTGGGTTCCTGGCATGTGTAAGGTGCTTGGGTATCCAGTGCCTAGAATGCACAGTGGAGCCACCCTCCCTGAAGTCCAGCCATCTTCCCCAGGAGCTGACACAGAGTGGTGCTGGGCTCTTTCCTGGGTCTCCTCTCCTATGGAATTCCAAGGTTCTCTGACTACTTTTCTTCATCTCCCTTATTTAAGCAAGGGACACAGAGGAAGAAATAGAGAAATACATGAAGGTCTCAAAAATTTTATCCTGCTAGCCAATGTGGGGATGTTATGATCCACTTGACCATAGAGCCTAAACTCAGGACTTAGTAACATGTAGTAACACACATAGTTTGCTCTCAATTATATAAAATAAATACTGAGTAGGGAAAAAAACCCCAGAAAATATACAGTTATCTACAATCAACCATTTAGATGGACTATAAATTTTTTTCCTATAGTTTCTATAATGACCACTTATTTCTATTTTAAGAACAATATATTTTTTTAAGAAAGCAGAAAAGAGAGTTGGGAACATTAGAGGCAGTGTAGCCTAGTTAAGAGACTTCCTAGGATCAAATCCCAGTTCTGCCACTTTCTATTTTTATAACTGTGAGCCAGTTACTTTGTGTCTCAATTTCTCCATCTGTAAAATGGGAACAATAGCAATTGCTTCTTCATTGTGTTCTTATAAGGTTAAACAAGTTATTAAATAGAAAGTGCTTAGAATAGCACATAGCAAACAGTATATGTTTTAACCAATCTTTTTTTTACAGAGATATCCGTTAGTGTAAAGCAAGAAAGTTCTATATATTAGAAATAACATGAAACAGAAATATTTCCACTCAACTCCTTGTACTTCATTTCTAAATGTGAGAGTAGAAATATAAAGTCTTTACTTTGATGAAGAATAATGTTTAATATTCATTCCTAGAAGGC